CTTGAATGGAGTAGGAAGAAGTCAGACTTATCCAGTCCTACCCCATGACATCATCTTACCATCATTGGTTTGCAAGCAGTATCTCTACATAAATAATTCTCTTCTACACCACACAAGTAATATACTAAAAAAATTATAACAGAGTGTTAACATTCTTACATAATTACATTCTTAAATAATTATCTTCTACACCACACAAGTAATATACTAAAGAATTATTACAAAGTGTTAACATTCATACACCACACCCACAATGTTCAATCTGATTAATCGTTAGGCCTGTTCTTGCATATATCTTGATTGACACATACCTTTATATTTATATTTAAACTCGTCAATTCTATTACTATTTTTTATGTCCACACTTAAATTATTCCATAGTTTTACCCCACTTATGGAAATACAAAATCTTTTTTTGGTTGTACATATAGCATGAATTTTTAAATTTAACTGACCCCTTAAATTGTATCCCCCTTCCCTTTCATTAAATAGTTTTTGAATTCCACCAGGTAATAAATTGTTCCTGGCTTTATACATAAACACAGCAGTCTTATATCCCACTAAATCAAAAAATTGTAACAATTTAGACTGTATGAAAGCTACATTGGTGTGATCCCTATACCCCATCTTATGCACAATTCTTATCACTCTTTTTTGTAATATATACAATGGTTGAAGTGAGCTTTTGTATGTATTTCCCCAGTTTTCAACGCCATACTCTAAGTATGGTAAAATCAATGAAGAATACAAAATACGGTGCTTTCCCGTCTAAAATATATCTAACCATTGCCAATATCGATATATTTTTGCTATTTTGTTCTGAACATATCAGATATGCGATTTCCAGGAGAATTTGTCATCAACCATGACACCTAGAAATTTAATTTCATATACTCGTTCGATATTAGCTCCCCCAATTTTCAATTGAAGTTCATTATCTAGTCTACGATTCCCAAATACCATAAATTTAATTTTATCCAAAATCAGAGATAGTATATTACTATCACACCATTTCTTTATCTTCTCAAGTTCCTGTGAAACCCGTCCAGAGAGTTGCTGTAGGTTTTCACCCGATGCCCATATGGTAGTGTCATCAGCAAACAAAACCACTTTCACTAAATCAGAAACCTTGCATATATCATTAATGTATAGTATAAATAATTTAGGTCCCAAAACAGAACCCTGAGGCACTCCACACACAATATCCAGCTCACTCGATTGGTATTCACCCAACTTCACAAATTGACGCCTCTGTGGCAAATAACTTCTAATCCAATTCAAAACCATTCCTCTGATCCCATATTTTTCTAACTTGTCCATTAATAATTCATGATTGATTGTGTCAAATGCTTTTTTAGGTCAATAAATATTCCCATCGTGTATTTCCTCTCATCCATAGCACTTGTAATGTCCTCCATCAGGTCAGTAATGGCCAAAGATGTCGATCGGTTCGACCTAAAACCATATTGGCAATCAGAGAGGATTTTATGTTTGTCAATAAATGTATCTAATCTGTTATTAAAGAGTTTTTCCAAGATTTTTGAAAACTGTGACAACAGAGAAACCGGTCTATAATTTGTGAAGTTGTGCTTATCACCAGATTTATACAGTAGAATAACCTTTGCTATTTTCATATTATTGGGGAACTGCCCAAGTCAAAATGACATGTTAAAAACATGAGTTAATGGTTTGCATATCCCCTTGATTGGCCTTTCTTTTCTATACTGGCAGTCATAAACCAAAAATACAGGTAAATGATCACTAATATCATTTATAAGTAATCCACTAGACATTTTGCTGTCAATATCATTAGTAAATATATTATCTATTAGTGTTGCATGCTGTGTTGTTAATCTACTTGGTTTTGTAATTTTTGGGTATAAACTGCATCTAT